TCCATGACAACCAGACAGACACTGCACCAGGAAATCCCCACACAGCCACCATGAGTCACATCACCTGCTCAACCACTCGGCTACTCTGTCAGACAAGACACTCCAAAATGCAGTGGGCATGTTTATTAAAATAGAAATTCACTGCACAGGGGGACTGATTTTTTTAATTAAAAATTTTTTAAATTGACACCTAATTGTATGTATTTTTCAAATACAGAATGACATTTCAATATATGTATAAAATGCATAGTGATCAGATCAGGGTAACTGGCCTATCAGTCACCTGAAACATGAATCATTTCTTCATGTTGGGAACATTCAGAATCTTTCTAGGAGGTGTAGCTCAGTGGTAGAGCTCATGCACAGCATTTCAGGGCCCTAAATTCAATCCCCAGAACCCCCACAAAAACCTCTCTACTAGCTATTTTGAAATAGTCAATTAAATGTTGTCAGCCATTGTTACTCTGTACTATGAGATATTAGAGGTTATTCCTCTTATCCAGTTGCACCCCTGTACCTGCTTCATTCCACTACCTTCTCCTCAAACTCCATTAACCACTGTTCTACTGTCTACTTACATGAGATCAACTTTTTACTTGATATGAAAAGGATTTGGAAAAAACAGACTCAGACTGAGAGCAAGTGGTAGAGCATTTGCCTAGCAAGCACAAAGCCCTGAGGTCAAACTCCAGGATTGCAAAAAAAATAAAATTTAAAAAGGAATAAAAATAAAAACAGCTGGGTGTCGGTGGCTCACACCTGTAATCCTAGCTACTCAGGAGGCAGAGATCAGGAGGATCGCAGTTCGAAGCCAGCCCAGGCAAATAGTTCATGAGACCCTATCTCAAAAAAAACCTTCACAACAAAGGGCTCAAGGTGAAAGCCCTGAGTTCAAGGCCCAGTACCACAAAAAAAAAAAAAAAGGTTTAGTGGAGAAAATCAGTATGTCTAGCAGAAACAAATTGAAAATCAGTCATTTAGTATAAGGCACTATAACTCAAGACAAAATTAAGTGACAAAGTCATTTCATTTATCAACACTTATGGTAGATAAAGAGTAATTTTCAGTAAAAAATAACTCATGCACTAAGTCTCACAGAAACTACACAAGGCAAAAATATTACATCAGGCAAAAATTTCTAGAAATTTACGGAGAATGAAACAAATTCAATAGTAATTGGAGGCAACAGCTTTCTCAACTGCTAATGGATTATTTGCAAAAACAAAACAATAAATAACAGCCGAGTTGTAAGGACCCTTCTCAGAAAACTGTTCTCTGAGACTGGTCCTGAGAAGGATGGGTAGCCCTCACAGGTCTGCCTTCAGCCACTGTGCACCCCTTTCCTGGGCCGACCCTGCCCTCCCCTTGCCTTTCAGGCTTTGTATGGGCACAGCCTTTCCCTTGCTCCCCACAGCACAGCCAAGGCCAAGCTGGGCAGCTCCACAAGGCTTGTAAGATGCTCTGTATCTCATCAGAATTAAAGTTAGTATAACTCTGAAGCCAGTTCTGATCAGATGAATATAGTAATCCCTAGATCAACACTGGGAAATAATACACAAAAATATAGTGAAAATCATGAAAGAAATGTAAATGTTACATTAGAAAATACATAACGCAAAAGAAAGCAGTAAACAGAGAACAGAGAAACAAAAAAATACATGAGGCATAGAAAACAAAAAGCAAAATGGTAGACATAAATCTGACTATATTCATTGTAACATTAAGTGAGTGGATTAAACTATAATCAGAAAGATTATCAACCTGCATATAAAACAGGATCCTACTATATGTTGTCCACAGAAGAAACACTTTAGATTTAAAAACACGTTTGGTGGTACACATCTATAATCCCAGCTACTCAGGAGGCAGAGACAGGAGGATTGTGGTCCAAGGCCAGCCAGGCAAAATTTACTGAGACACTATCTCCAAGACAAGCTGGGTGTGATGGTTCATACATGTGGTCTCTGCTACTCTAGCGATAGAGAACAGGAGGATGCAGTTCAAGGCTAGGTGGAGTGAAGTTAGCATAAGACCCTGTCTGAAAAATAAGCTAAAAGCAAAAAAGGCTGAAGATGTAGCTCAAGTGGTAGAGCTCTGTCTAGCAAGCCCAAGGCCCTAGGTTCAATCCCACTCACCAACACACACACACACCACACCACACAAGAAGCAGACTGAAAATAAAGAGATGAGAAAGAGGTATCATGCAAACAATCACAAGAAAAACTGGAATAGCTATAGCCACTCATATCAGACAAAATAAGCTTTAGACCAAAAAATTATTCTAGAGAAAAAGAATAATTATAATGCAAAAGGGTTGAACTGCTGGCACCTGTGGCTCATACCTAGTTACTTGGGAGGCTAGCCCACACAAGTAGTTCATGATACCCTATCTTCAAAATAACCAGAGGTATGACTCAAGCAGGGGAGCACCTGCCTATGAGCATGAAGCCCTGAGTTCAAACTCCAGTCTCACCAAAAAAAAACAAAAAAAAAACAGTCAACACCAGGAAGAGGTAACAATTATAAATATGTATGCACCCAATAACAGAGCACCAAAATACATGAAGCAGAAACTGACAGAAAAGAAGAGAGAAATAAACAATTCAAAATGACCCCTCTGTCAGTAATTAGAACTAGATAGGAAAGCAACAAGAAACTGAAAATTTGAACAACAGGATAAGCCAACATGATCCCACGGACACCTACAGAGCACTCCACCCAACAGCAACAGATGCACTTTCTCGAGGACACATGGAACAGGCCACACACTAGTTAATAAGCAAACCTCAATCAACTTTGAAGAATAGAAATAACACAAAGTGTTTCTCTGTGTCAGACTTTGCATAGCTGTTGACAAATACCAGGGGGGGGGGGGGGGGGGGGGGGGGGGGGGGGGGGGGGGGGGGGGGGGGGGGGGGGGGGGGGGGGGGGGGGGGGGGGGGGGGGGGGGGGGGGGGGGGGGGGGGGGGGGGGGGGGGGGGGGGGGGGGGGGGGGGGGGGGGGGGGGGGGGGGGGGGGGGGGGGGGGGGGGGGGGGGGGGGGGGGGGGGGGGGGGGGGGGGGGGGGGGGGGGGGGGGGGGGGGGGGGGGGGGGGGGGGGGGGGGGGGGGGGGGGGGGGGGGGGGGGGGGGGGGGGGGGGGGGGGGGGGGGGGGGGGGGGGGGGGGGGGGGGGGGGGGGGGGGGGGGGGGGGGGGGGGGGGGGGGGGGGGGGGGGGGGGGGGGGGGGGGGGGGGGGGGGGGGGGGGGGGGGGGGGGGGGGGGGGGGGGGGGGGGGGGGGGGGGGGGGGGGGGGGGGGGGGGGGGGGGGGGGGGGGGGGGGGGGGGGGGGGGGGGGGGGGGGGGGGGGGGGGGGGGGGGGGGGGGGGGGGGGGGGGGGGGGGGGGGGGGGGGGGGGGGGGGGGGGGGGGGGGGGGGGGGGGGGGGGGGGGGGGGGGGGGGGGGGGGGGGGGGGGGGGGGGGGGGGGGGGGGGGGGGGGGGGGGGGGGGGGGGGGGGGGGGGGGGGGGGGGGGGGGGGGGGGGGGGGGGGGGGGGGGGGGGGGGGGGGGGGGGGGGGGGGGGGGGGGGGGGGGGGGGGGGGGGGGGGGGGGGGGGGGGGGGGGGGGGGGGGGGGGGGGGGGGGGGGGGGGGGGGGGGGGGGGGGGGGGGGGGGGGGGGGGGGGGGGGGGGGGGGGGGGGGGGGGGGGGGGGGGGGGGGGGGGGGGGGGGGGGGGGGGGGGGGGGGGGGGGGGGGGGGGGGGGGGGGGGGGGGGGGGGGGGGGGGGGGGGGGGGGGGGGGGGGGGGGGGGGGGGGGGGGGGGGGGGGGGGGGGGGGGGGGGGGGGGGGGGGGGGGGGGGGGGGGGGGGGGGGGGGGGGGGGGGGGGGGGGGGGGGGGGGGGGGGGGGGGGGGGGGGGGGGGGGGGGGGGGGGGGGGGGGGGGGGGGGGGGGGGGGGGGGGGGGGGGGGGGGGGGGGGGGGGGGGGGGGGGGGGGGGGGGGGGGGGGGGGGGGGGGGGGGGGGGGGGGGGGGGAGGGGGGGGGGGGGGGGGGGGGGGGGGGGGGGGGGGGGGGGGGGGGGGGGGGGGGGGGGGGGGGGGGGGGGGGGGGGGGGGGGGGGGGGGGGGGGGGGGGGGGGGGGGGGGGGGGGGGGGGGGGGGGGGGGGGGGGGGGGGGGGGGGGGGGGGGGGGGGGGGGGGGGGGGGGGGGGGGGGGGGGGGGGGGGGGGGGGGGGGGGGGGGGGGGGGGGGGGGGGGGGGGGGGGGGGGGGGGGGGGGGGGGGGGGGGGGGGGGGGGGGGGGGGGGGGGGGGGGGGGGGGGGGGGGGGGGGGGGGGGGGGGGGGGGGGGGGGGGGGGGGGGGGGGGGGGGAGGGGGGGGGGGGGGGGGGGGGGGGGGGGGGGGGGGGGGGGGGGGGGGGGGGGGGGGGGGGGGGGGGGGGGGGGGGGGGGGGGGGGGGGGGGGGGGGGGGGGGGGGGGGGGGGGGGGGGGGGGGGGGGGGGGGGGGGGGGGGGGGGGGGGGGGGGGGGGGGGGGGGGGGGGGGGGGGGGGGGGGGGGGGGGGGTGGGGGGGGGGGGGGGGGGGGGGGGGGGGGGGGGGGGGGGGGGGGGGGGGGGGGGGGGGGGTGGGGGGGGGGGGGGGGGGGGGGGGGGGGGGGGGGGGGGGGGGGGGGGGGGGGGGGGGGGGGGGGGGGGGGGGGGGGGGGGGGGGGGGGGGGGGGGGGGGGGGGGGGGGGGGGGGGGGGGGGGGGGGGGGGGGGGGGGGTGGGGGGGGGGGGGGGGGGGGGGGGGGGGGGGGGGGAGGGGGGGGGGAGGAGA